CCCTCTCCATTCCTTCCCCCGCAGTTTCGATTTTATTTTTGGAGCATCAGTCTGTCTCCTCCTCTCTCTCTCTCTCTTTATTATTTTTGTTTTCTCCTCCTTTTTTTTTTTTTTTTTTGGGTGTGTGCGCGTGTGGGGGAAGCGTGTGCGGGTGTGCGCGCTCCCCGGCAGCCTTCACCAAGTCCATTGCTGAGCCTGTACCAAATGGTGTGCTGTGGGGTACTGGGGGTTGCTGGTCGCGCTGTACTGGGCGTTGTATTGCATATGCTGTAGAGACTGGGCGCTATAGGCGGAGAAGGGGATTCCCGTCTGGAAAGTCGCGGCTGCCAAGTCCTGAGCTTTGAGCGTGTGGCAGGGCTTGCCGTCCCTGACTAAGACCGGCACGGCCACCCGCCGCGGGGAGGGAAGAGGAGTCACTTCCATACCTTTCTCGGCCCGGGCCCGCTTCATCTTGTAGCGATGGTTCTGGAACCAGATCTTCACCTGGGTGGGGGTGAGGCGGATCAGGCTGGCCAGGTGCTCCCGCTCGGGCGCCGACAGGTACCGCTGCTGCCGGAACCGCCGCTCCAGCTCGTAGGTCTGCGCCTTGGAGAAGAGCACCCTCCTCTTCCTCTTCTTCCCCGCGTCCCCGCCGCCCGCCGCTTCCTTCTCGTTGTCGGGCGACTCGTCGGCCGACGGCTCCGGTGACTTGGCCGAGGGGTCCTGGCCGCCGCCGCCGGCCGCCAGCCCGTGCACTGCGGACGGTCAGCGCCCGGTCAGCGGGGAAGGGGCCGGGGGGGTCCCTCCGCCACCCCCCCCGCATCCCTCCGCCGCCCTCGCATCCCTCCCGCCGCACCCCGCATCCCTCCCGGCCGGGGCGAGGATTGAGGCACCGGCCGGGGCTCGGCCAGCCGTGGAGAGAGGCAAGTCCCCCCCCATCCACCCTTCGTCGTCCCCCGACACCCGCCCCGCCGCCGGGGGCAGCTGGAAGCGGCGCTGCCCCGTCCGTGTGGGGGGACGTGGAGGAACGGGCCGGGGCGAGCGCCGACCCCCCCATCCATCCCGCATCCACCCCGCATCCACCCCCCGGCACTCCTCAGGGCCCCCCGCGGCCCCCGGTCCCCCGTGGCCCCGTCCCCCGGCACTCACGGGAGTACTGGATGCCCTCGGCGCTCGCCAGCCAGCGCGTGTAGGGATTATCGCTGTTATCATAGAAAGGGCTCTTCAAAGGCAGCGTCGGAACAGTGTCCAAGGGGGTTTGTCCCAAAACTCCCGCTTTCCTGGGCGGCTCGGGCGCCTCGCTCTCTTCCTCGCCGCCCTCCGCCGAGCCGTCCTCATCGTTGGTGTCGGGGAGGTCCAAAATGTCCTTCACCGAGAAGCCCGTCTTTGTGTTGGTCAGAGACATGTTCCGGCCAAATTTCGGCTGGGAAAGTTGGAGCCGCAGCTCGACCGAGCCGCCGTGTCACGGGTGGGCACGCACACGCGGAGCGGCGGCAACGACAGCGCGCAGGGACACGGGGAGGGGGGGTCGGCACGCGTGGAGATGGGGGAAAAAAATAGAATAATATAGATTTATAGAAAAATAAGCGTAGGGGGTTGTGCGAGAGAAGCAGCCGCAGCGACGGGTCTCTGCGGTGATGGTTGTTCTGCCACGGGGGAAAATTCCGAGAGCGGGAGCAGCAGCTGGCTTCGGGAATAGTTTGTAACTCCAGGGGGAAAGGGGGAAGAGACGCCAAAAAAAAAAAAAAAAAAAGGGAAAAAAAAAAAAGAAAAAAAAAAGATCACTTCTGGATCTTGTTCAGCCGCGCCGAACCCGCGCCTGCCGTTAGAAAATCCCGAGCCATTGCTGGAGCGAGGAGTCCATATAAGGCTGGTCCCCACACATGAACCTGCCGAGAGGAGGGAGAAAAAAAACCTACATTAAACCCAGGAAAGGTTGGCCACGTGTGGGCGGGTCTTGGAAGTCAAGTGGATGAAGACAGTGTTTGCAGATGTGAAATTGCGGGTTTTGGGCGAGCTCCGAGCTTCCACCATTGGTGATGAGTGGTATAACGTGTCAGTTAATTACCGGCGTGGGGAGGGCCCTTCGCGCGGGTGTGTGCGCGTGTGGCAGCGGGAGGGAGGGAGGGAAGGAGGGGGCGACTTCCCTTCTTTTTTTTTTTTTTTTTTAAGGACAGTATTTACATACAAAGAGCTTCGCACCAGCCCGACGCTCCGCGCACTCCAAAGTGTGTTTTCCGCCGATGTTTTCCCCCGAGCGAGGGAAAAAAAAAAAAAAAAAAGAAAAAATAATTCCGCGGGGGGGGCCGGGGGCTGTTCCCCCCCCCCCCCCCCCCCCCC